TGTTTGTTTGTTTGTTTGTTTGTTTTCCAGCCTGAAAATGCCTGTGTGCGGTTGTTGTTTTTGTTATACCTGTAGATGTTTTTCTTTGCAAAAACTGGTCGGTTTTGGTCTGACTGGACCTAAAACCAGTCCACTTCCTGTCTTCAGCTCATCAGGGACTCTGACACTTCATCAGACCAGAACCAGAAACTGGTTTAAAAGCTGATATGAATGTTCCCACTGTCATCATTTCATTAGGATCCATTAGATCCGTCCAACAGAACCAGTTCGGTTCCATCAGCAGGTTCTGTTAGCTCAGAGATGGACCCCAGAAACTCAACTCAAAGTTAACTTCCTCAGAGTTTGCCCTGGAATCCCCCTCTGATGACCCGGTTCGGGTTTAGCCAAGCAGACTCGCTCACCTGGGTCTCGGTTCCGATGACACAGAGTTACAGCTCTGGACAGACAGCAGTGTGGGGGACTTCCGTGGACCCAGCGGGGACGGCAGCAGGTTGGTGTTGGACGGGGACAGAGACAGCAGGTTACTGCTGCCCGGGGACGGAACCGAACCTCGGCGACACCCGAGCAGAACCTCCGCGCTCCCCGCATCGTTAAAGCCCGGCTCGGATGGAAGGACCAGGATGGGCGGTATAACGGTGAGTCCGGTCCTCAGGTTGGGAGTGACATCCCCACCGCACGGTGACCCGGAGAACCCGGCTAACGGCCCGTAGCTGACCGTGGGTTCGGATTCCGAGCAGGAATCAGCTGTGGCCGCCGCCGAACCACAGCTGGGTCCATCTAACGGGGTCTCTTTGTTGTCGCAGCTCGATCCATTCTGGCTCGAACTGTTCTGAACCGGCCGTCCGTCCAGAGAAATGTTGTTCAGGAACAGAAGAGCGGCTTGTCTGCGGCGGGAGTTCTCCCGGTTCTTCCGGCTGTGCTCTCTGGTACCGAGCGGCACCGTCAGGACCGAGCTGTTGGGTCCGCAGGCAGCAGCAGCCGCCATGGTTTCTGTCCCACTGAGGAAGTCCAACCCGGGGATCAGCTTCAGACTGTCAAATCCCTTAGCTCGGAGCCCCATCTGAGCGCTCATTGGTCACAAACAAATTACGTGATGACGTAGAGGCCGAAGCACGTTGTAAACAGAACCACCATGAGTTACCTTCATCAACAATTAGGGGAATTGAAATATTAGAGAAGAAATGTTCAAACTTGCACATAAGGAAGGTTCTCTGTTGTTCAAGTTTAGCGTCACTCAGAGGAAGGTTTTTCTGGAATGCAGAGTTTGTTAAAAGATGTTGGAAAAAAACATGGATGTCTCGCTTTCAATATTGTATTTCAAATAAAATAAAAGAGCTTAATTTCAAAATTTTACACGTTTTCCCATGTATCAAACAGTGGTCAAAGTTTAAGGATATTGATGAAAATTGTTCCGTTTGTCAAGCTGAATCAGAGGCTAGATTGTGTTTATTTTGCAATTGTTCTCACTCTGGGTTTTGGAGGGACATGGAGAAATTTGTCAAGGATAAAACTAAACACACTATTCAAATTAGGCCTAAAGATGTTATTTTCAGGTTTGAATGTACTGATAAAAGTTTAACCTCCCAAACTTCTATGTTTTCTTAGTAGACTTTGATTTATATGTGAATACTTTGAGGTTAACAAAAAATAAGAAGGCAGAATCCACTCAGCTGCATCTTCAAAATTTACGTTTGATCCTAAATGATATTGATTATTGAGTGCCTTGTTTATTGTATAATTTTCTTTTTGCTACATGTTCTTTGTAGTTTGTCATTTGTTTCTGCTGATGTCAGTTTTTTATGTAATTG